GCTTGGTGGCGCGGATCAACACAAGTCCATTTGCTTTTCTGCTCCAAGCGGCTGGTTCTCTGTGCTAAGTCCTTGTGCCTCCGGGGCCGTGGCCGTGCCGGAGAGCCGCTCGTGGGGGGCAGCTTGTGACCTCGGTGGGGCGTGGGGGACGGCCCACAAAGCCCCCCTTCCCATGAGGTCCCCGCCGCTTCCCCGAGCCCGGCTCAAACCCGCTTTCCACAAGGCTCCCGTGCGGCCGCCATCTTTCTTTCCAGAGAGGAGCGGGCGGGCCGGTCAACGCCCTTCCCCCTCCGGGCAGGCTTGGTGGCGCGGATCAACACAAGTCCATTTGCTTTTCTGCTCCAAGCGGCTGGTTCTCTGTGCTAAGTCCTTGTGCCTCCGGGGCCGTGGCCGTGCCGGAGAGCCGCTCGTGGGGGGCAGCTGGCGACCTCGGTGGGGCGTGGGGGACGGCCCACAAATCCCCCCTTCCCATGAGGTCCCCGCCGCTTCCCTGAGCCCGGCTCAAACCCGCTTTCCACAAGGCTCCCGTGCGGCCGCCATCTTTCTTTCCAGAGAGGAGCGGGCGGGCCGGTCAACGCCCTTCCCCCTCCGGGCAGGCTTGGTGGCGCGGATCAACACAAGTCCATTTGCTTTTCTGCTCCAAGCGGCTGGTTCTCTGTGCTAAGTCCTTGTGCCTCCGGGGCCGTGGCCGTGCCGGAGAGCCGCTCGTGGGGGGCAGCTGGCGACCTCGGTGGGGCGTGGGGGACGGCCCACAAAGCCCCCCTTCCCATGAGGTCCCCGCCGCTTCCCCGAGCCTGGCTCAAACCCGCTTTCCACAAGGCTCCCGTGCGGCCGCCATCTTTCTTTCCAGAGAGGAGCGGGCGGGCCGGTCAACGCCCTTCCCCCTCCGGGCAGGCTTGGTGGCGCGGATCAACACAAGTCCATTTGCTTTTCTGCTCCAAGCGGCTGGTTCTCTGTGCTAAGTCCTTGTGCCTCCGGGGCCGTGGCCGTGCCGGAGAGCCGCTCGTGGGGGGCAGCTTGTGACCTCGGTGGGGCGTGGGGGACGGCCCACAAAGCCCCCCTTCCCATGAGGTCCCCGCCGCTTCCCCGAGCCCGGCTCAAACCCGCTTTCCACAAGGCTCCCGTGCGGCCGCCATCTTTCTTTCCAGAGAGGAGCGGGCGGGCCGGTCAACGCCCTTCCCCCTCCGGGCAGGCTTGGTGGCGCGGGTCAACACAAGTCCATTTGCTTTTCTGCTCCAAGCGGCTGGTTCTCTGTGCTAAGTCCTTGTGCCTCCGGGGCCGTGGCCGTGCCGGAGAGCCGCTCGTGGGGGGCAGCTGGCGACCTCGGTGGGGCGTGGGGGACGGCCCACAAAGCCCCCCTTCCCATGAGGTCCCCGCCGCTTCCCTGAGCCCGGCTCAAACCCGCTTTCCACAAGGCTCCCGTGCGGCCGCCATCTTTCTTTCCAGAGAGGAGCGGGCGGACATGTTTCTTTAGGACAGTCACCAATGCTTTCTTAAGCCGGCAGGTTCAAGTGGGAGACATTTTACAGACTTGTGTAATATACTCCAATACACCCACAGGTCAGGACACTTGTCTGTCAAGATTCCCACTCTGAATCAGTGGAGGGACTGGCAACTGACCCAGGTTTGTTGTCCAGAGTAGACCCAGGTGGGGTCCTGCCCCCTTAGGCCTCTGCTTCCTGTCCAGTTAGGAAAATTATCTGTTTTGGGTCTTTAAAAGCTCTGGAAGGCTCCAGGGCTTTGGATCTGGGCTTGGTCTAGAGGGGAGTTTCCCTCTATGTTGGTGAGTCAGGCAGGAGCAGAGCAGTTGTCTAATTAGGAAAGAGCTCTTTTCAGAGGCAGGAGAGGAGAGGTTTGAGTAGTTTCCTAAACGTGTAACTTGAGAAACTGGGTCCAAGCAGTGTCCTTCTTGGAAACAGCAAAACTCTGATGGCTTTTGGTGCCTGCAAAAACTGCAACCAAGAATAAAAATGGCTGTGTCTGTCACAGGTGCTGATGTAGTTGCTAGGCTCTGAGCAGCACTAGTGACTGTGCAAGTCTGTGAAACATTGTGTCAGGCAAATGCTCCTGCTGTGTGGAGCTCAGCTCTCAGCTGGTGAGGCATATTTAGATTCACCCAAAGTGCAGGTTTTCCCAGGCACAGGTGGTGGATGGCGCTAGGGGTCAGGGATGTGTAGGATCGTCTTGCTGTATGATTGAAGGCTGGTCCCCTGCCCTGCAAATAAAAAAGAAAATAAGATGTAGTCATTATTTTATTATTTTTTTTCTGCTCAAGATTTATTTATTTATTTTTTACTTTTTAATAAATCACTACGAGATACAGTTACAGACTTACAAACTTTTGTGATTACATTTCAGTCATACGATGATAGAATATCCATCCCTCCACCAGTGCCCATTCTCTACCACCAATGTTCCCAGTACCCCTCCTGCAACCCTCACCCTATCCCCCCAACCCTGCCTCTGTGGCAAAAAAAAAAGAAAAGATGTAGTGATTAATAGGTTGGAAATCACCTCCCACCCCGGCACTGTTCCCAGCCCGACATCTGAGCCAAGAACCTGAGGAAGCCAGTTTCGGGATATAGAATCTGCACCCATGAGGAGATGGAGCAACTCACATTTGTTACAGAGGAAGAATGTTTCAACGATCTTCTAAAGGAGGATCTCAGAACACAGAGCTTTGAGAGGAGGTTGGCACTCAGAAGGGTGTGGGCATTTGGACCAGGCAGACCCTGAAGAGCCCGTCATTCAAAGGTGCATTTCTCAGACCCTCACTGGCTGCAAGGATGCTGAACGTGAACCTGTGGAAACTGCCCGTTGCTCAAGCATTCAGAGAATGCTGCTGCTGTGTGTGCTGCATCACCATCAGGGCATCTTTAGAAAACTGAAGCCACGGCTCTTGGAGGTTTCTTGGTTTTGTTTGGGGCTACCCCTGGCAGGACTGCACTTGCTTCAGGGGACCATGTTGACCCAAGTTGGCCTTGTGGAATAAAATGCCCCTAGCCTTGTTCTCTCTGTAGCCCACAGCTCTGTTAACATCGAGGGCTTGTGAAGGATTGATCTCCAGTTCACGTGAAGCTGAGATCTCTAGAGGTTAGGGAATAGGGGTTCAGCAGCGACTTTCCAGGGCACAGCTCACTGGTTTGGGACCTGTTCCATCGAGTCCCTGACCCCTCTTCCTGCCTCGAGCCTCGGAGAGAACAAGCCGGTGCAGAGGATTCTCAGAGGACTCGAAGCTGGTGGAACTTCTCTCAGAAACACATGCTCAGGTGCTAAGAGGGCATACTAGGTGCAATGGCCCCTTCAGAGCAGGAAAGTCCTGTTTAGATATCCTTACTGGATATCTGTCTGACTGTTTCATTGAGTTGATTGAACATCTTCATGACTTCATATCTGAATTCTTTGTCAGAGAGGTCCCTTAGGTGAGCAGACCCCAACAGAGGCTTCTGGACTCTTTTCATCACCTCCCCTTGTGGTGGGGATTTACGTTGTTTCTTCATGTTGGAGTGTAAGTGTGGGGGTTAGATTCCTTGGTATGTCTAAACTACTTGCGGTCCGCTGAAAATTAGGCCACGCCCACTTCTGCAGAAGCCACGCCCATTTCTAAAGCGGCCACACACCCACGGGAACCTGGTGTGTGTGGAGGGGAGTAAAGACTGGGTGGGGCAGAAGACCAGCTCAGCCTGGGGGACAGAGAGGAAGAGGCAGAGGCTCAGAGCTGCTTTGTCTCCCAAGGTCCAAGAGGACGCCTGGGGGGCTTGCAGGGAGAAATCCAAGTCCCGGGTTCGAGAAGCGGCGGATAAACTGACCTGGGTGGGGGGAGAAGACCAGCTCAGCTTGGGGCACGGAGAGGAAGAGCGAGTTGCTTTTAATTTTTAAGACCAAATCCTGAGCTCAGCTGAGAGTCATCTGAAATGAGCTTTATGTAGGGGAAGTTTTTTTTTTTCTTTTCGCTTTTTCACACCTGGCGTTGCACAGGGGTTACTCCTGGCTCTGCACTCAGGAGTTACTCCTGGCGGTGCTCAGGGGACCATATGTGATGCTGGGAATCAAACCTGGGTTGGCGGCGTGCAAGGCAAACGCCCTACCCGCTGTGCTATCTCTCTAGCCCCTGCAGGGGAAGTTTTTGTCCTTTTGCCAGGCCTGCTCATGGGTCCCTAAGATGGTAGATAACATTACTGTGATCTGACTTAGCAATAATAGAATAGCTCATGATCCTGGGTGAGACCCAGCAAAGCTAGGGGATGTTTCTGGTCCAACTGGAAAACTGTACTGGAAAACTGTTGGTGCCAGCCAGCTGCTTGAGGAGCAGAGCCCGGTCACAGATGGTGGCATTGGTCGATCTGTTGCTTCTGGCTGCTTCCAACTCGCTTCATTCAAAGTTGGCTGGGTTGGAGAGATAGGTCGGTACTCAAAGATTGCAGAATCTAACCAGGGAGGGTCTAACCTGCAGACCACAGTCTGGCCACCCCTCCTTCCTTCCATCCCACCCCTCCATCCCTCAACCCCTATCCCTCCATCCCTCTATCTTTCCACCCCACCCCTCCATCTCTTCACCCTTCCATTCTTCCACCCCTCCACTCCTCCACCTCCTCCACCCTTCATCCCTTCACTCTTCCGCCTCTCCATCCCACACCCCACACAGATGGAGACCCATTACAGTGTTGCAGACCCTCAGAGGTGGGTCTTGGATTGTGTAGCAACAGCAGTACTGGACCTTGCAGACTGAAACAGACTTGGTAATTTCAGGAAACAAGTATTTAACTTGGTGGACATAGAAAGCTCCTATGTTTCCTGCTGGGATCTCCCAAGCGGTCACTCCTGATGCTAACTTGGTCCAGGAGTCCCCAGTTCAGAGCCAGGAGCTGAGAATGCAGCAGTGCTGGGGACTCCAGGGTCACCCTCTCTGGGCTGCCTTCTCTGGCCACAGCAAGTACCCTTGGTCTGTAGATGCCAGGCGGCTCCCCAGCACCCACTCCACCAACCCCTCTCTGTTTCAGGCTGGGCTTCCCCATGATGGCTGTGTCCTGCCTGGTGGCAATGTGCTACCTCCTCATCGCTCACGTGGTACTGGACTGGAACTAGCAGCGTGTGCAGAGCAAAGACCTAGAGAACTCACGGAGAAAATGGCACTTCCCAGGGGGCGATATAGCCCTTGGAGTCCCACACTCCTGGGGCCAGACGCAGCTTAGCCACGTCTCTGCACAGACAAACACGACCACTGGAGAGTCCCCTTCCTGCTTTGGACAAAGGCTCCAGAAGCGGTCACCCAACCCAGATCGTCACTTCTCCCGAGTCTCTGCACATTTCCCCCTGGGCATCTGTCCGGTGCGGTAGACCCTCCGTGTGTAAACCCTGGGAAAGACATGTGGTCTGTAAGCAAGCATTCTCTTGGTTGAAAAATAAACCCTCCCTTTCACAAACAGGTCTTTGAATCTGTGGGTTTTTCTCCCCCTTCATTTTAGAGGGAGTTTACACTCCATAGCTTTGCATGTGATCCTTTTCCTGTTTCTCTGAGTTTTACCTCATCAGTGACAGATCTGGACATTTGGCTCGCGAAGGATGTTTGCAAAGAAATGTTTTACATCGTCAGCGGCCGGATTCAGAGGCCCAGTTCTGAAAGGGCTTAGCATTGCGCCCGCCTCAGCCCTGCGGGAAGACCCTCGTTCCGTGCATGCCACTAGTTGGAGCTCTGGGAGAGTTGGGTGCTGGGGCCTCCTCACCCCGAACCGCCACCCTTGAGCGCTCCCTTCAGTCCTTTCAGCTATGTGAAATCTCCAGAGCAAGCTCTTTCCTGGGGACTCCCCTCCACCCCCCGCATTGGTGCAGAATGTCTAATTTCTAAGGACTAAAGATGCCCAGAAGGGGAAGGTAGGAGCCATTTCTAGTCCCAGCTCTGCCCACTCCCAAGGTCTGTGTGTCCTTCCTGTGACTATTTAGGACCAGAACTCTGAAAGGTTTAGCAGGGAGGAAGCACCCAGTTGGCCCTGCGGGTTAGAGGGACATGTGAATACAGTTTTGTTCCCGGTCAGGTCTTGAGGAACATTCCAGAAGCTTGCCCATGTTGGGGCTCTGCCTGCCTCTCCAGGTTCTTGTTTGCTTTGCCTTTTGTGCATTGGGATCTTGGGCCACTCTGAGATATTGGGTCACCGGGCTTTATGGATCACTGCTTAGCCCCAGTAGAAATGGGGGCCATTAGGGTTGTATCTGGTAGAAATTAGGCCATGTGGTGTCAGAGTGAAACCTGGCTCTTGCATATGCCAAGCCTGTACCTTCAAGTCCAGAACTACCTCCCCGCCTTCCACTTTGGAAGTTGAGGTTGCCAGACCTTCCATCCCCAAATCTTGTTTGTTCCCCCATTATCCTTTAGAGGGGGCTTCCTTCGTCCCAGCTGCTGCATCTCTCGCTTGTTTTCTCCTCCTCCTCCTCCTCCTCCTCCTCCTCGTCCTCCTTTTGTTTTATGGGCCACACCTGGGGTGCTTGGGGATCACTCCTGACAATGATCAGGACTCACTTCTGGCAGTGTTCAGGGAGCCAGAGGGATACTGAGGCCAGTGCCCTCCCCTACACTATTTCTTTAATCCACACCTTGAATTCTTCATCTCAGACATTCCCAAGCCTTCCGACACTGGCCAACATCTGATCCTCACCCCACAGCACCACAGGCCAGTCCCAATTCTCAACCCTGTCACCTTGTCCGACTACCCCTCAAACCCCATCTAACTGGGTTCTTTATTTTCGCTCCTAAATGCAAAATTCTGCCACTAAATCTGTCATACCTCCTGGGTCTGTATCTAAACCACTGTTGGGGCTGGGAGTGTCCGCTGGGCTTGCCTATTGGCAGCAAACAAGCCCTGAGTGGCTGGTCACCCATGAGAGACACACCTAGTGTCACCCACGGTGTCCAGGCATGTGCATGACCTCAGCCATTACAACTGCATCTGTGACAGGAAAGGGATATTTCAAATAAAGGAAAGCAGGGTAAGGAATCAGGCCCACATGTCCCTGCCGTGTCTCTGCCTCCACTGGCATCAGAGAGGATCTCCCTCCCTCCATACAGAGGGCCCCAGGCTGTGAGGGTCACCCTGCAGGTGGCTCCCCTGCAGGAATTCCCAGTGACCACCAGTGAGAAGCTGAGCAGCAGCCCGAGAAGTGGCCGGATACTGTTTATTTCGCCCGTGGACCCAGTTAAGCTCCTGCCCTACAGCTGAGGCCCTGAGCATCGGTGAGAACTCTGTTTTATGGAATATCTGATGGGGGGCTGGGGCGTTTTGGGCAGTGGGGAGCGGGGGGCAGCACAGAGGCAGAAATTCCCAAGCATGCTATTGTAAAGCAGGTTCTGGACCAGTCAGGGATGGCAGCACATTTGAAAGATGTTCCCGGGTTAACAGGGTGTCCAGGGATAGACAGCGGGACTAGGACCACCTCAAGGACACCCCGAGTGCACTCCGTGACTGTGTCATGTCTCCCCGACTCCCGTTCTCTGTTCTCTGCGTGAGGTCAGCCCGTGTGAAATGTGAATGGGAATCCCTTTCCTTAATCTGAGTGAACTCTTGGCTTTGGCATTACCAAAGTTTGCCTTTCTTGAATCAAGTTGGTTAGCCAGGCTGGCCAGGAGTGACACTTCTTGGCCATGGTGCTGGTGCATCTCACCTCTTTTCCCTTAATACAGGTCTTTGCAGGATCAAGAGCCTCTACCATCGTGCAGAGATGTGGCCAGGCAGGAGATGGACTGGATGGGACTGGACTCAGCACACAAATTTGCACCTGGCTTCAGACCCATCACTGCACTCATGCAGGTGGGTACTCTGAGCCACTGAACCATCGCCCCGGGTCCTGGTCTTTATTTTTCTCCCAGAGGAAGAGATGCTAAGTGGAGATCCAGGCCTTGAGCTGTGAGTAGACCCGCAGGATGCAGGGGATGGCCCCTTCCTGACCTTCATTCCCGCTCATGCGCTTTTCTAGACCCTTGGTAGCATGGAGGGGGGCGGGGGACTTAGTGGTACCTGGTGGGAGGGGAGGCAGCAGATAGAAGATCTCAGCCGAGAGCTGCAGAGGGCCGTACAGGGCCTGGGGTCCTGCTCGAGCAGAAGCAAGAGGCAGCTGCCTGCCCACCCCCCATGGTCATGGTCAGAGGAGCACAGTGACCAGGTGCTAAGGGTGATGCTTGTCGCACAGGCCCGGCCCTGCGTTCAGTGTCTCTGACTTAATGGCATCTAGCCTGGATTCAGCTTCGTGGGCTTGCTTGATAGAGCAGAACACAGTTGCGGAGAGGAATGGACACAGCCTTGAAGCTGAGGGACACGGGAGGCACTGATCCTACAGTTGGGATGCGATGCTTCCATGTCTCTGAGGATGGGCACAAACAGGGAGAGAGTTGGGGAGAGAGAAACACTTGCGTCACAGATATCCTTGTGACTTGGAGAGCAGGGACAGCAGGGTGGGCACTGGTCTGACAAGTGGTAGCCACCTTGGGCACCACAATTTGATCCCTGAGTCCCGCCAGAAGTGGCACCTGAGCACAGAGCCAGGAGGAAGCGCCGAGCACCACTGGGTGTGGCTTCAAAGCAATAAAATAAAATAAAATAAAATAAAGCCTTCCTGAGCATGAATTGCACCAATAGTGAGGAGCTGAGGCTGGCTCTCCTCTTAGTCTCCGCAATTAACAGCAGGTCCCACTCACCTGGCCTGTTGGCCACTCTCAGCTGTACCCCAGATGTCCACTCACTCCTCCTGGGTTCCCAGGCCATGCAAACCTGGGTATCCTTTTTTTTATGTAGGAGTATTGCTGTTTATTCAGCCATTGATTAGGCTGATTGAATTGGACATGAACTCCACCTTACTTTTTTTCCCCCTTTTTTAATAATTTTATTTATTGAATCACCGTGAGAGCAGTTACAAAGTTTTCAGGTTTAAGTCTCGGTCATACAGTGAAACACCTCTATCTTCACCAGTGCCCATTTTACACTACCCAAAGCCCCAGTATGCACCCCCATCCCACACCCTCCCCCTACATGTGGGACAGATGATTTCCACATTACTCTCTCTCTACTTTGATTACATTCAATATTTCAACACCAGACCCACAATTATTATTTGGGATTTCACCCCAAAACTCAGATCTGCTGAAAATGCAACAGTAAACAATTTGTTTTCTATTGCTGGTTATGAATAACGTATGATGTCGCGTGGCCGCAGTGGTGGCTGCACGATTTTGGAATTCCGAAATTTTAACAGTTAAATCTGGAGGGATTTCTGCCCAAATCTGCTGGGTTTCGAGATTAGTTCCTGAGTCTCTTGGATCATGGCTGTTAAACAGCTTGATCAGGAGCCAGAGAGGCTGCTCGTGGGCCACGACTTGGGATCTCCTTGGGGCTGGGAGGAAAGGGACGGCTCTATCCCCATCCCACAAGGCCCTATCCCGTCTCATCACTGCGGGATGGGCATCCTTTTCCCAGGCACAGATGGGCAGGAATTGAGGCGGACAAGTGAATCCTCCAGGGCATCCACCTTGATATCGATGCCACTGCAGATGGGCTTAGAAATCAGCTTCAGATTCAGAGCCAGCAGTGGCACTGGTGATGAACGTAGCAGTCTTCCAGACTCAGAGCCAGATCCCACCCAGCAGGGGAAGGAGGGGGACGGCCTGGTGCTGCCCAGCACTTCCAAGCAATTTTCCAGCTTGGCCCCTTGCGGAGGCTGAGCTCACAAGCCATCACACTTGGATCCAAACAAACTTCTCCAGGGCCTTGCAGGTCATCAGAACTCAATAAAGAGGTCTGCGGATCAATATAGCCACGGGAGTCTATTATGGGTAGAAGGAGCTGGCTCTGAGAAACCATCACCACAGCACCAGGGTCAGACTGTGCTGAAGCTGACTCGCTTCTGGTGCTTTGGACCAGCTTTCGCAAAGCAGTGGCAGAAAATTGCTCTGAACACTCCTGGTGTTCCAGGAGTAAGTTACGTGAGCTCCCCATTGAAAGAGAATGCAGGCTTTTGTTCCCACTGGGCATGGTCCTGACCTTAAACAAGTATGAATGATCTGGTCTGGTCCGGCTTGGGACTTAAGCTTTGAAGACCCACCGTGGTCCAGGTATCTCGGTTTCACAG